AATTTGTATATAAACAACAGTATTTACTTAGTCAGTATTAGCCATAACTTAGCATTGTTTCAGTTTTCAGGATATGATTGGATGCATTTCTTTTCTACATACATACATAAATGCATACATACATGTATACATGCATACATCTTTAACTTTATGTTAGTTGAACAACCCGAGGATGGCCTTTTCTTCATCATCCACAAAGTTCAATAGTCCAATTAAAAAATACATTATAATTTTTGAAATCTATGAGTTAAATATTTATTTTATGGGTAAGAAAATTGTGTTTGTTGTTTTTTTTCTTCATACGTCTTATTTTATCTTGATTGTCAAATAAACTTTTTTCTCTGTGTCTAGCCCCCACAACAATTATATAATGTCTTTCCGGTTCAAGTTCATTTACTGTCATTTGCATCACATGTGGTACATGAGGTGGAATGAAAATGTGTACTCAAAGTTCCAGTTACACCCAAAAAGAGCAAAAATATAAAGTATAAACAGAAACAGTATATATATATACACACACTAAGATAAAAACTAAACACTTATAATGTATTTAATTTATTGTAATTGTAGTTTATTGTTATATTGTTATTATCCTGCATCTCCAACATATACTGTGGTATTTACTCTGCAGCTGCTTTGAAATCTTTCCAAAGTTAAAATCTGCCATAACACGTACATGTATTTAAGATCTGGGATACTGGTGAGGGTTTTCAGTAAAATCAGTTTTTTTTTCTTTTCCTCAGCTGAGGCTCCTTGCGTCGTGCTTGAGTGAAAATCCAGGTTTTCCGGCTTCCTCTGAACCTCATTAAACTCGGGGATAGTTTTACCTCGCGCCTGCACCGCTGAATGCCTTTACATCTTCACTCGTCAGGCTGGCGCGTCTAATTCCCACATATTTTCAGTTCGACCGTCTCTTTTTCATAAGAGCAGTCATCGATCTTCATTTGTCACTTAACCTCCACGACGATGAGGACAGCGAGTGGAGCTGTGTGTGTATGTGTGCAGATTAGTGTGTGTCTTTGATTTCCTGAAGGCCTCCTGGCTCATGCAAATGAAAGTATGGGTGTAGCAGAGTGTGGGGTGCTGCAAATAAATCCACTGACTCCTTCAGTCAATGTCACCTGTTAATGACACTTTACATACGCCGCGGTATCACAGAATCGGAATATTACACATTCCCACACACACGCACAAAATCCTCATCCTGCTCGGTGATGCACGGCGACGCGCACACACCCATGAACACACAAACACGCCTCTCGTGTCACCTACAGACTTTTAACTTCAAATAATATGTTTTCGCCTCACAGCACCGCTTCACATCCTGACAAATGTCATTAAATTCTTTATCAGAAGCATCCCGATAAAACTAACGCGGGCCTCGGCGTGCGTGCTCGCTCCTTACTTGACAGGTGCCGTGAGCTAAACTCCTGCAGAGCAACACAATGGCAAACAACAACAACAAAATGTGTTAATGCTGCGCGGCGAGGAACTTTGTGCCTGTTCTGTCAAACAAACCAGAACGCTGCAAGCAGAGAGATCAGAGGGACAGAATTAAGAACGGTTTTTTTTATTCCCACATTCAGTGAAGGCCTCATCCACAGTGAACCATTAAAGTTCCTCTACTGCAACTCGCTCGGATAAATGCCAAGCGACAGTGTGGGCAACTTTTGTTGTTCAGTTTACTCTGGAAACACTCCGGCGGGGGGACATAAGAAGTGAGTTGATGTCATCAAGGCAGCTTGCGGACTTGACACCTTGCTGAATTTGTCAGCGATAATCTGCGGACCCGTCACTGATCTGTCAGCTACCTGGATAATTAGGGACCTCGGCTAATGATGCCGTCAAGCTAAAGAGAAGCCCCGCCCCTCGAGTCGTAATTAAGAGACTGCTTTTGGCATTAGCGGCACAACGAGGAGAGAAGAAGGTAGATGCTGATGTTGGTGAAGAACTGTCTGTTCAGCGTCGAGCTCACGGATCATTAAAATCTAGTTGTGACGCTAAACTTTTTTCACTCCTTCAACAAATCAACTTGCATCAGGATCCAAAATTTCCAAACGGATGCAAAGGTACCTGCGTAAACACCAGCCGGGATGCATCCCTGTGTTGATCCTGCGCCACCTCTTCCTCAGCCGGAATAAGCAAATGTTCAGACGAGGTTATTAAATCAGCCCTTTATTATTGTTTTTTTTTTATAAGCAAAAGCTTTTTTTAACTCCCCAGGAACAAACTCGACAGTGTCACACTGTAATCACGCCGACACGCTGAATGATTAGTTGACAGATTCATTACTTAGAGTGACGCCGTTTGATTTAAGATACTGCAGTTGGCAAACTAAAAGCAAGAGCGTGACGTGCGGCGCCGGCGCCGTTCATTTTCTAACAGCAATCAGAGCCGTGACCTCAGGAATACGAAGCTACGGCGTCTCCCATCTGCTAATTAAACCAGCGTAATTACTGATTATCTGGTTGTAATACTCCCGCGGTCCCGTATTCAAACATTCTGCTGCGAGGACGTGGAAAAGATGCACGCTTTTCTTTAACAACAAGAGTTTATGGAGCTTCCTTTCTCTCTTTTCTATCGAAGAGCATATTTAGCAGTCAGAAAGATAAACAAACAAAAAAGAGATGTTATTCGGCAAAATGTCAAAGAGGCCTTGCAGATGCAACACCGAGACCTAGAGGTGTTCCATGTGTGATTTCGAGAACGAGACGCTCAACAGGAGGAAGTTGATGCATGATTAACGACCTGCACGACAATCAAATTGTTGGTTATATGCAAACCGTGTCGTTAAATAATGCTAAACTGGGCGCACGTGAGTCAAAGCGATATTGCCACAGTGTCATTATTTCAACACTTTACTGCTCCTATTGTTTACAGTAAACTACGAAGGTCATTGGTATATGAGCTGCAGCTCCCAGTCGGTTTGTTTGCTCCGGCTGTAATCTCATTCTGTATGGCTTTCGTTACTTGATATCAGTGCATTCTTTTATACATGTCATTAATTACTCAGGAAACATAAGTGCACTGTGACGAAAAGACTAAAACCAACAACAACAACAGCAAAAAAAAAAAAAAAAAAAACCCACTGGAAATGACAACAAATGGCTGCAGCAAAGAGTCTCTGCTGCTCAAATTGCACTGCGCTGAATCCAACTGCCAAAACTAACAGATGCAGTAATGCGGTTCCAAACGAGAGCACACTGATGTATTGTCACTGGTCATAAAGTAGATAGGGTGCAGAACCATTACCGGGTCTAAAATCATCACCGTGACTGATGAAACGAAGCCCATTCGAAATGGCATACAAAGAGCTATTGAAAGCTTTTCTCCTCTCTGAGGTGCAGATGCAACGTTTAGTTTCAGAGCAGCTCCAAAGCCACAAATCTGGGCTGCTGAAAACGTCTGCTAATGCGTTTACCCCCCAAAAAAAGAAGAAGCCACGTAAAGGTGTGCAAGTGGGTTTGCATGCATGCATTAGTAGAGGTGTTAAAGTTTCTGGGGGAACAAGTTGACCCCCCTCACTGCCCATGATGCATGTGTCTGTCAGGGGGAAAAGACAATTAGATCAATACAGAAAAAGACACATCAACAACGGAGCGGCGGAAAACGGAGCAAAAACTCGTTTTCGCCCGGCAGCCTTGTTCTTCAAACACCTTCCTCTCTATCCATCACGAACGCCTCGCGTCAATTAGAAATTACAGCCCCCACCGAGTTCAAAGTCTCGCCGTCGCAACCTTGATTAAGTCTGCTTAACCTCGCATTTCCACCGCCTGCTTAACATTCTACAGCTGTTTTCATTCGGCTTTGGTCATTACTGCACGGACTTCAAAGGCTCCTCTTTCTTGTCATTTGGAAATGTGTGTCAATCACTAACACACACACACACACATATACGCACACATATATACGCACACACATATATACGCACACACATATACGCACACACACATATATATATATATATATATATATATATAATCTCACTGGACATCAAATGGGTTTAGTTGCTGAACAGTTCGTGGCGACAACAAGCAGGCCAGAAGTACGTGTGCTGGGACTGGATGTGGAATAAAACAAGTCACGTGTAGGTCTTATTCTCGTCTTCAACACATTTTTATTAAAACTTGCCGAAACACTCGAGCAGATCTGTGTCCTTTAGAGATCCAAGGTGTGTTTGTTGCTCCTGGAAGTGATCTTATCAGAACTGCTCTTTTTTCCGTCCAGAGCAAATCTGTGCACCTTTTCGACTGAACTCCAGTGATTCCAGTGTGTTGGGAACTTCCTGTTTCTAGGATATGAACACAGAAGTGACCATTGGCCCACCATGTTTACTCTGCAAGTGTTTGAGGATCATCCCTGTGTGATCTCTGCACGCCTCAGACTCCCCCTCTATACACACACACACACACACACTTCCCTCCCCCTGTTCCCTTCTCTCTGCTCATGTCAACTATTTATCCCGCTTGAGAACTTTTCTTTCAACTAGTCTTTTCTTTGCTCCTCAGGGAAAAAAAAAAAAAAAAAGAAAAAGTTTGTGCAGTCTGACGCATGCGCATGTGCACGCTGAATGATTTACTGATGGTTATCAGGAATGAATAGATCAAAGGCAGTCGCGTGACAGGCAATCAATCAAGCATCAAATCAGAGATGGCGGAACACAAGCTGAAAAGAGCACATTTCTCTCTTCTTTTCCTCCACGCAGACACATCCAACATGTAAAAGAAGGTGTTTGTTTGGAGAACTTGACTGCTGCGCAGGTTGTGGGAAAAGTTGCACAAACTAAAACTGCTTTTAGAAAACAGGAATAATATATATATATATATTAAGAAAAGTAACTGCACTTAAAGGGGTCTGCTGCGTGAACTTAACAGACCTTGTGTGTGTGTGTGTGTGTGTGTGTGTGTGTGGGGGGGGGGGGGGGGGGCGCGCGTTTACCTGCTGACCGCCGCGGCGCTTGCTGCTTTCTCCTCGGCATGCTGCTGCAGGATGTTCCGCTTGACTTTTCATGCAGAGATCAAAACAGCCGCCAAGATGGAGACGAAACAAAATAATAAAAAAATAATAAAAAATAAAAATAAAAAAGCAGCTTCAGCTCTTCGGTGCAAGCGAAGGATTCAAGAGTAGAGATCCCTCCGTGTTTAGTCTTATTTGTTTCACTGCAGGAGTGTCCGATGATGGGTTCTGCCTCCTTTAACTTCTTCCCATCAGCAACTCCTCTCAGTCCATCCAAACAACAACAACAACAACAACAACAACAACAACAGAAAGCCAGTTTCCACGCCGCGCTGGGACTACTGCACACCTCCCATCAGAGAAGCGGAGAAAAACGAGCTCGTCACGGTGAAGATGGGTCCAAACTGCCGGGTGTGTGTGCGCGCGTGAGAGAGCGTGCGCGTTTCTCTCCGCTGCGAAAGGAAGCAGAGGAGGAAATCAGGGGAAAAGACTGGAGGAAAGAGTGACACGTTAAAGCAGACTGGATGATGTCAGTCAGTCAAAGCGGAGAGAGAGGGAGAGAGGGGGAGAGAGAGAGACAGATGAACTCCCACTTCCCCCCTCCCTCCCTCCCTCCCTCCCTCTCCTGCTGGATAATAAAATACTCACACAAACCGACGATTGTCAACACTTTCCTCTGAAGCGCATGCCCCCCCACCCCCCAAAAGCGCACGCACTCCTTCTTCTTCTGCTCCCCCCCCACCACCACTCCTTCCCTCCCCCCACTAATATTTATAAGATGGTCATAATTTCAGGATGTGATCTAAACGAAGTGCTCAGGAGCGGAGGAAACGCGCGCGCACGCCGCCGCGTTCAGACAGCTCTGCGCCTCTGACAGACGCATCCAGCTGCCTTTCCGGGTTTTTTTTTTTTTTTTTTTCCCTGTCTCCACCCCTCCGACAAGCGTCACCCTGTCAAGTCAGAGCCCACCTGTCAATCTTACAGGGGAGGAGGGGGGGGGGGGGACCCTCTCTAATTGTTTAGCCTGGTTTTCCTGCAAGATTCAATAATAAAATAATTAATTAACGAATTAAAAAGGTGCGTCCTGCGCGTAACTGCGCGACTATGGGTGCGGAAATGACAAAAAATAAAAATAAAAATGAACATAAACTTATTTCATTATCATTTAAATCAACATCCACGCTCAAAACTCAGTTTTTCTCAACTTTAAAGACTTTTTTCCAGCCGTGCGCACCAAAACAAGATGATCTAGTGAACCGATAAAAACATCTGGAGATCTGTTGGCGAGCCCTTTGCTGGGACAAAAGGCTGCGGATCGATTCGTCGCAGCTTGTTTAGTGAGAGGCTTGTGGTGAAATGAGGGGAGGGGCTCTGGATCCAGCCCCACACTCTCCATCAACTAATGTGGAGCATAAAGTGTTTATAAAGAGCGCGCAGCTGGAATAATGGTGCCTCAAATGTGCACAAGCAGCCGGGGAGGATGGAGAGAAGAAGGGGGAGACTGTTTTATTTTTATTTTTTATAAATCTTTAAATACTAACCCTTGGAGTATTTTTTTAAATTACTTTTTATTTCATTGTTGCAGCTTCATCGCTTCAGAAGAGCCTGAAACTTTCTGCAAACCGTCCCGCTTTGACTGATTCTGGTGAGTTTCTTGTGCACCCCCCCCCCCCCCCCCCCCCAGGATCTGAGCAGGGGAGGACCGCTCCTGCAGCAGCTTTGACTCATCGCGCGCAGAGATGTCCAAAACCCACAAGTACCGCCCTAACACATGTCTGTCAAAATATCTGCCTGCTGATTGATGAAGCTGAGTGACGTCACCAAGATTTACATGAAACAAACGGATGTTTCTTCTGTTTTAAACCTGATTTGAATGGATGGGGCTGCTCTTCTTTACAGTAACCTTAATTTAAAATACTTTTGTTTTTCAATGTTGGCTGAAAATGTATCTGATTTTTTTTTTGTTCATATAATTTTGTATAATTTTAACCTGTGGTTTACTTTTATTTGCATTAAGTGAGTGGCACCCTGTGCAATTAACAAGATTTATCCATGAAATACAATGTTTTTAATCAAGGTCCAAAAGGTTTGGAAAGCACAAGTCAATCCTAAAATGTAAAAGTTGCTTCATTGAGAAATGCTACAAGCAGCTGCAGCATAAGGAAACGTGTATAAATTATTAAAAAAAGCAAAACACTCGCTGATATTTAATATCTTATTAACAGGGTTAATGTTTATATTAGCTTCATTTGCATTTCTGAATGCAACAACTCGCATTATGAATTGATAAAACGAGTTGCATCTTGGAAAAAAAAAACCAGACATTTATGTTAGCGATTTCTGTTTTCCCACGCAACTTTTAAAAGTTTGACTGAAAGTTCACGTTTGAACTACTCTTATACGTGTTTGCCATATCAAACTGTAAATTGTAAACGTGCTTTAATTCATTCAACCGTTAAGTCAGACTCCTGCAAAGGTTACATGTTTGCACCAGAGTAAAACAAGGGAATTATTTGTGTAAGATCTGATTCAGGACCAGCAGAGAGGGG